TGGAGGGTCCCCTGCCCCCCACAGGGTGAAGCCCCCACACAGCTCATGGGCTGCATCCCCACAGGGCCACAGTCCCCCAACAGGGGCCCACAGCCCCTCAACAGGAGCTACACCCCCCCCCAAAAGGGATACACCCCCTCAACAGGGGCCAAAGTCCTCCAACAGGGACCCCATGACCCCTTTCAGGGGCAAACCCCCCCGCAGGGCCCATGACCCTCCACCCAGACCCAGACCCCAATCATCCTCCATCATTCGCCCTGCCTGTCCCAGCCCCTGATGGCTGCACCATCCAGCCCCAGTGTCCCCACACTCACTGGCTATAGCAGCGTCCGTCAATGTTGTAGGGGGCAGCAGGGATCAGCCTCGGCTGCCTGACACCCAAACTGACACTGCCTGATTGCCAGGGTGCAGCCCGGCTGGCAGGGTGCCATGTGGTGCTGCAGGCTATCTGGCAGCTTGGGGCCACTCAGGCTGAGTGGTGCCAGGCTCTAGGGGACAACTGGAGCAACCCAGAGCTGCCAGACAGTGTCTGGTGCAGCACAGGACCCTGCCAAGCCAAGCTGCAACCATGTCATGCGGCAGCATGGGTGCCAGGCGGCTGAGGCCAATCCCTGCTGCCCCCCACTTCCCCATGCTGTGCAGGGGGGCTCTGCCATGGGGCCCTGAGTAGCCCCAACCACCACTGCTACTGCCGGTGAGTGTGGGCTGTGCTGCGGGTGGGGCCAGGCAGAGGAGCAATCGGAGCAGGGGCTGTGCAGGGGAGAAATCAGGGAGCAGGGGCTGGGCAGGAGAGCGATTGGAGAATGGGGGCTGTGCAGAGGAGCGATCAGGAAGCAGGGGGAGCAATCAGGGAGCAGGGGTTGGGCATGGGAGTGATCAGGGAGCAGGGGCTAGGCAGGGGAGCAGTTGGGGAGCTGGGGCTATCCAGGAGAGAGATCGGGGAGCAGGGGCTGGGCAGGGGAGCAATCGGGGAATGGGGGAAACAATCCAGGAGCTGGCACCCAGCAGGGGAGCAATCAGGGACTGGGGCCAGGTAGCCCCCGCCAACATGGTCCCCCCCCCCATGTCCCCACCATCTATGTGGAGGACCGAGCCCAGTTGCTTCGGGGCATGGTTTGGGACTGTGCCTTAGCCTGCTGTTTCGCAGCACTTTTTTTTTTGACCCCTGGATATCCAGGGGTCTAATTTTGCCCCCATGCTGCAAATTTGCAGCATGGGGGCAAAATTAGACCCCTGGATATCCAGGGGTCTAATTTTGCCCCCATGCTGCAAATTTGCAGCATGGGGGCAAAATTAGACCCCTGGATATCCAGGGGTCTAATTTTGCCCCCATGCTGCAAATTTGCAGCATGGGGAATGGGTTTTTTTGCTCGCACACATGCATCTTGCAGCGTCTCAGAGGGGTCTGAGATGCTGCAAGAGGCACCTGCATATTCATCTGGATGCACCCAATGTGGCCAATGTAACATGGTGGTTTTAAAATCCATCAGTTTAATCTGAAATAAATAGATGCAATTCCTTCAGCTTCTGTATTATTCCTTTCTTCCACCCTGCTGACTACTCTAAATGCAGAGGTTGTGCAACTGCCATTGCTTGCTTAATAACAAATTCTGGTACCCTACTTATGCCAAATAGTACCTTAGTTGCTTACATGTCTCGCATTTTTTTAAAATCAGAGCCAGCATGTATGCAATTGGGAACCAAACACAATATATACAAATATTCCATTGCATTCATCTAGACTCGGTGTAGATTCCAGCTCAAATTTTTCCCTGCACTAAAGTCCACTTGGCTCAGGAAATGGGGAGGACAGCCAGGGAGCCAGTTACACATAACCTTGGTCCAAACCCCAGCATGTGTTAAGAGCTACAAACTGCTCTGATTTGTGCCAGGTGGCTATAATCCACAAACAACTATATTTCCATCTGGGAGTAAATGGAGCCTCAGCATGCACCACCTTATCTTCGCCCTCAACTTATGTGGCACTCTGTGGGCAGTTAATCTGGGATCCAACTTTACTGCTGTACATCAATTATAAGTTTCCCTGCACGGGGAATTTGCAGCTGACCGGTGCAGTGGCAATTTCTGCCACTGCTGACAGTTTGAACAGGGTTACTGTAGCAGGATGGGGCACGACACGTAATAGCACCCCCTGGTGACCTTTTAGGATCCCTGCTTAACTGGTTCCTTGGTTCTCCTCTCTCCTTCTCTTGCCATGCCATTGATGTCTCTTGGGTGAAAGTAGTTGTCGAGAGGCTGTCAGGACCCCAGGGAACCACTTATCCTGCCTACATACCTGTTGTTCCTGGTTAACCCAGTCCGAGGGGCCTTACGGCACTGGTAGCCTTGGTGACTATTCACGACCTCCAACCTCCCCTACAGCCATGCCCATGGCTCACAGGTGGTCTCATTCAGTTACTTGCTTGTTGGAGCTTTGGCCTTCTTGGCCTCTGCCCCTTTTCTCTTGCTGGAGCCTTTTAGCCTATGTTAGTCCTGACTTCTGGGCTTCAGCCCCAGGCTTACTCTCTTGAGCTCGTACCTCTGCCCCTCTTGGACTACGGGCCCCTGGCCCTGGTCTCCACCCTGCTATGGGCTCTGTAGCCCTGTCTCTGCCCTCTGTAGGCACTGATGAGACCTCCTCTCACTCCTACTAGTCCTGCCAGCAAAACTAACTGGAAGTCCAGCTAACAGCTTAACTAAACATACATGTAAGTCCTAACAAAAGGTTTGCTGTTACTTTAATTTAAGTAGCCCAGTCTGAGCAATAGGCAGCACACAAGCTAGCTCCTTTAAGAAAGCAAAGCTTCCTTGGGCAAACCCCCTTCTGGCCTTCTCCCACCTAGCAGCTAAGAACCCAATCTCCTACCAGGATTTCTCAGTGAGCAATCTCTGTCTCCTTCCATGTGAGGGCTCTGCTTCTCTGCAGGAGTTTCTCCCCACTTTATACCTCTCACTGTGCTCTTCTGGGCACTCTCTTCCTCCCATGGTACTCCTCTGATCCTGTTTTTATCCAGCTTCTAGCATTAGAATCTGTGCCCAGTGACTCACTGGTCCCAGATGTCAGACTTTCTGGGTTCAAGAGGATTAGCCACCTCTCCCTCACCAGGCTGCTTATTCTTGGGCTGGTGCTGCTTATCTGAAAATTCTGTTTGCTCTCATAGCGGTCCTCCTGACAAGCCTGCTTAGACTGCGGGACAGGAGTCTCTGGCTCTCTCTTACAGTTGCCAGTACAGTGGGCCATGCTGGATCTTGTACTGCAGGGGGCATGAAGATAGCATCTCAACTCTAATCACAGGAAACAGTTCTTGGCCAGCCAGTTGTCAGCTGGAATAGCAGAAATGTATCTGTTTACTCATAGACCAGGATGATTGGAATATTTGTCATTTATGCATTCCTTGATGGTAATCCCAATCTCGATACACTGTTCCTACAGTCTTCTTGATGCCCACTTCTACCATCTGTTAAGTCAGAATACAGAGCAGTGTATGCTCTCAGAGTGGTCTATCAGTTTTAGCAGGGCAATACTAGCTTTTGGTTGGCAGTCTTTTTATTGCAATAAAGCTGTGTCTTCTGCAAAACAGGCCTTTTAGCACTTGTTAGCATCTGTTATCAATTAAGTGCCAAAACTGAACAGCAAGGCAGGGAAGAGGGAGACAGGGTTTGTTGGCATTTGTGCTTGCCAAAAGAACAGTTTGTGTTGCCAAAGGAACCTGGTAAAGCTATTACAAACACATGGGTGTCAGCAATGACAATATGTTGTGTAAAACAGACAGCAGGCATACTCTTCCAGGGAAACAGATTGCTACAAGGAGGCCAGTTAAAACCAGTAAAAGCAAGGTGAAGCATCAAGAGACACAAGTTGTGCATTCCTCCTGGGAAGTGATCAAACAGTTAGGTGCACTTAATCTCACCCGGTCCCATTTAGTATCTGATGTCCTGAGAATCGGTTAGTATTTGATGTTCTGAGAATCTATGGAAGATCAAAACAAAACTAAATGAAAAAAAGCTGGGCAGCACTCAGTCTTGCTGTTTTGCCCCAGTGGAGTGCTCTGTTAGTGAGAGTACAAAAAAAGATGGAAGCAGATTGAGAGAGCATGGTGCAGTCTTCACAGCCTCCAATAAAAGTAGTGACAAATAGCTACAGGAAATGCTGGTGATCATGATATTTTTTGGCCTATGGAGCCTCTTCCCTTTCCAGACATGGGCACTGCTGTTTTCAGCCCTACCATTTTCCTATTCACTTCAGCCAGCTATGTGAATCACCATTTGCAACCACAGTAATCACAAGCAGGAGCTCAGCATTCAGTTGCAGGAGGAAGAAGTATCTTCCATTCTTGCATCACAATTGGTCTTCTCGGCAAAAATGCCTATAGGACCTCTGTTGCCAGAAAAAATGTTTAAGTATTTAGCTTTTAAAAGTTATTACACTTACAGGTTCATGATGCAATGTGCTAGTATTGGATAGGTAAATGACAAAATAAAAAAGGAGCACAAATTATGCTGTAAAAGGGAAGGTTGCTTTCATTTTGTTCAGCTGTTTTCCAGTCTGAAATAATGTGGAAGGCTGGTAAGGTGACAAACCCATCAGTTCATGAGGTTTTTGACTGGCAGAAAGACTAGTGCAGTATCACAAAGTTTGAATATCTTTACATTTAATACTTGCAGCATACTGATACAAAAGAAGTTCTGGAGAACGATTTGACGTATTGGTGGCTTCTTTGGTGTCTTTGTTTTACAACATTCAAGAGGAACTCCTGATATAAAAGGCTAAAAGATGAGGTGAAGGCAAGACAAGGTGTTCAGTAACTCTTTCTTTTTTCCTTAGGATATGGAAGGGTCAGGGAACATCGGTTTGTTAAGTGAGCCCAGAACCCTAGGATCCAGAAGACCACATGTAAGGTTTTAGTTTCTTGTTTTATTTTGCTTTGTTTTGTTTAAAAATGCATTCCTTCCCTTCTACATGCAGTCTGTCCAGAAGGCAGTTGGTGTTTTAACTAGTCCACACTTATTATATAACACAGAGTTTATGTGGTACCAGTGTCTTGTTTTGTCTCTCTTTCAGGGAAAATGAGTAGTACAGGACCAGCATCTCTCTCACATAGGTGTATGCTTAGAGCAGGGATGGGCAAAATACAGCCCGAGGGGTGGATCCAGCCCACCAACAGTTTGAAGAGCCTGTGTGTGGCTTCCACCCAGCAGCTTTAGCCCTTGATGCAGTAGCATTAGCCTTGGACCTGGGTAGGGCTTCTGCCACAGTGAGCAGGCAGCAGCAGCAGCTGTGGATGCTGCAGGCAGGTTCAGGAACCCCAACACAGAACCTGCTGATCCACAGCTAACACTCTCCCAGTGCAGTGGAAGCTCCCATCTGGAGCCCTGATTTGGAACCTGCCGGCGGCATCAGCTGCGGACCAAGGCAGGAGTTTCCACCGCACTGGGTGGGCAGCAGCATCAGCTGTGACACCATTGGCAGGTTCCACATCGGGGGCTGCTGGCTGTGCCCACATCTGATGCCGCTGCCCACACGCCACAGTGGAAGTCCCTGTCTGGGTCCACAGCTGAGTTTCAGGGTTCCTGGTAAACTACAGCTCTTGATGGGTTCTGGAAAGAGGGAGGAAGAGAGAGGGGAGAAAGATACGGAGAGAGAGAGAGAAATGGAGAGAGAGGAGAGATGAAAGAGAAGGGAAGAGAGATTGAAGAGAAGAGAGAGGAGAGAAAAGGGAAAGAGAGAGACAGAGAGAGAAGAGAAAGAAAGAGAGAGATAGATGTGGCCCTTGACAAGTTCCCAAAACTCATTAAGTGGCTCTCCAGCTGAAATAATTGCCCACCCCTGGACTAGAGTGACTTCACTGGGTTGGTTTGAGTTGCTCTCTGTTTATATGGCACTAAATTATATTAGGATGTTTCCCAGAGAAATCAGTTTAATTTCCTTCTGATTTTGATTGGTTTAGTTGTAGTTAATTCATTAGCTGATCTATTACAGTTTTAAAAAATATATAGGATTAGTGAAGTGGGGTTTTTTTGCCTATGATGTTCCTTAAGGTGTCTTACCTCAAACCTGAATACGTAGCCTCTTTCGACGTAAGCCTTCCTTTCTTCCCTTGTATAACCACTCTATTGATCAGGCTATTCAGTTCTGTGACTTCGATTTTTCAGTTTACCTGAAACCACTCAAGAGAAAGATGTGGGTATCAGTGGGCGTGTCCACATGAGACATTTACTGTGCAGTTGACTAATTAGCTGCCCAGTAAATGTCTTGACATCTACACATGTTCTCCTATTAGGCTGGAGTAAGCTAATTTATTTTGCAGCAAGTTAGTACTTGTAAATACAAGTACTATCCTGCTGTGGAGTAAAAAATCTGCAGCAGCACACATGTAGATGCTGCTCTGGTGGCTGGGGCACAAGGATGCTTCAGGGCAAAGGCTGCCTGCCAGCCCCAAGCTGAAGCTCCCCCATGCCCCAGCCAGCCCCTCTGCAGCACATTGAGCTGGGAGGAGCAACTCCAGGCTGGTAGGCTCACCCTGGGGCCCCTTGCCAGCTGGGGCTGCTCTGACCCTGCTCCACATGCTGCACATGAATAAACTGCAGAACTTAGTGCTCTGGAGTTAATTCTCCTGGGCGCATGTTCAAACGGTACGTCCAGGAGCAATTAGTACTCCAGAGCAATAAACTCCTCAGTTTATTCATGCACAGTAACAGCATATGTAGATGTGCCCATTGTGTACAATTCAGTGGCAGTGCATATGCATAGTCAAAATGGTGAGTCAAATGTTAGATTATGGGATAGAAAATAATAACGAAAATAAAATGATATTAATTAAATCAGTCATTGTCAACACATGAAGCATTCTGTTCAAGGTCTCATTATCAGGGCTCAGTGGTGGGGAGCTGTAGGGGGCAAGGGCTGCAGGGGGGTAGAGCTGTAGGAGGCAGGTGGTGGGCAGAGGTTAGGGGGTAGAGGCTGTGGGAGGCAAAGGGGGCAGAGACTGTAGGGGGGGCAGAGGGTTCAGGCACCATGGGGGGGCAAGTACTAGGGGGCTCTGGCATGGGGGGACAGACAACAGGAGGAACAAGTGTTGGGATTGCAAGGGGCAGGGGTCATCTGCCACCAGCCTCCCCTGCTGCTACTTCTTTTCCTTCTGGAATAGGGCAGGGGGATGATTTAAGATGACCCTGCAATAGTTAGTTCTATACTTGGAAAATTATAACAAATTTAGAATCTAGTTATTGGGGAGTCACTTGAATTAAAAGTTATCTCAGATTCAGGTAAATAGGGTATTAAATCCTCTTGTACCATTGCATTAACCAACTTCTGACTACCCCTTTTGGATAGTTTATTTTACCACTGGCTAATAAAGTATTTTTGGTTTATTCTGAGCAATCTGGCTACAGTCCACCATCTGAAACAAAAATTTAGCTACTATCCTCTCCATTTCTTGGCTACTGTTTTTATGAAGGTACTGCCTAGAGACTTGATGCTTGCTAAGTCTAAAAGCCTCTTTTCTTGTCTTGCTTCAGTCTCCCTTATCCCTTGAAGTCTTTAGCCTTTGACATTTTAAATTATTGATCTCTATGGCCATCTTCCCTATCTGCTTACACTATACCCACTCCTCCTTCATAAACTCCAGCACACAAACTGAGGGAGATAAGAGACAGCCCATCTACTCCCTCTTCTACACCATATAGGATCATACCCTTGGGTGTTTATTGACATCATCTGGGAGGCTAAGGTGTATCCTTTAATTAGCACAGCTCCAAGAGCCTCATTAATTAAAAGCCCCCAGAGCATTACATGTATCAGCATCCCTGCACTGAAAAATGGCAGCAGGGCACTTTGAACTAAAGCTCATCGAACGAGCTTTAGTTTAAAGTGCCCCGCCACCATTTTCAGTGCAGGGATGCTGATGTACATGATGCTGGAGTCTGCTGGAGCACAATAATCACAATGCTCCAGCAGATTCAGTTGAATCTGTTCTGACGCGCTGGAAGTACAGCTCATTGGAGCAGCCTCCCTAAACATGTACAGGAGCCCATTGTTTCTTTAAGTCTCCAACACTGCTTTCCTGAATTTTAATATTCTTAAACTGCTATGTCCCGTGAACTGTGCTGCATTCATATAGCCTGTGATAAGCAAACATTGCTTTAATTTTCAAATTTTTATTCATTTCTTCCATAAGTGGCATGAGGGTTAAGCCTTTCTGAAAAGTGTAGTTCCATGGCCTCCTAGATGTGGTACTTCAACCAGTATCAGAGCAGTACAGCATACCATTTACAATGACATGCTAAGGGAATGCCTTGGGCTTTCATTATCATAGATCTCTTTATAAATTCAGAGGTTTTGGTCACGCATGAAAATTAATTTGCACATTTTCACACGTGGGTACAATTGGGAGTTTCTCCTTAAAAGCACCCAGAAACCAGAAAGATAGAAAACTTTCTGGTCAGGACTGAAATAGCTTGCAGTGCTACACCATTCAACCAGGTCTCTGTGGCTGGTTTGATAGCTCTATTAATTGTTTGGTTTTGTGAGCATTGCACTAATAAAAACAAAGACAAACTTGGAGTCAATTCCCAGAAGAGCCTGATTGAGACTCTTCATTCTTTTTCCTTTAGCAATTGTTCTTTCTTAAATAACCCAAAAACTAAATGATATTCCCTGATTTAAAACAACTTTAAAAAGATTAACAGCAAAAACTCTTTTCAGCTGGCAAATCTCAACTGCATAATCCAGTGAATATTTACAGTGTGACTATAATCTCTTTGAAGTCGATAATAATACTACTTAGAATAACTTTGTTTCCATGAGGTTCTGTAGGGCCTGAGGCTGCAGATCTTACTCAGGCAAGCAAATATTTAAAACAGCAATCTTATTAAATTCATTAAGCCACTTGAATGCAGGTTTCAGAATATTGCCAGGGTGGGAAATTTTAAAATCCACCAGAGTTCCCTTTGAGTCTTCCTCAATAAATTGAAGCTGGGTGTGTTGAATCAGTGCATTCCCAGCTGCCTGGGTTATGTCCCCACACTTCTCAGGAGGCACTTTGAATAGGCCTCCTAATGACGATACGTTTTCCATCCCCACAGACTTTCTCCACTGCAGAGTTCACGCTTCAGGAACTCTGCACCTGGCTTATCTTTAATATAAAGTAGCATAACTGGAGAAAGAGACCTGTCCAGAGATATTGTGACAGCCTACACAAAATATTGGAAATTGGAGCTAGGATAGTGCTAGGGGCCAGTGTGAAAAGCCAGTTGCTGAAGTGGTCTGATATTTCACTAGCTGGAAGCCACAATGCTGAAAATTCATTTGACATCTGTTTTATTTTAAGCAAATGCACCATTTCCTTATGTTCCTTTTAAAAATAATAATAATGAGTGGTCAAAACCATCACATTAAAAAATAATAATAGAGGTCATTAACTAGCAAGCAGCAAATTGCCCATTCCAACCTGCAAAAGTGATGCCATTGCTCTCAGCTTTGCTTCCAATACGGACATAATTTCCAAATCATTGTGCTATAACCAGCACAAAAAAAGAGGTCTCATTGCTTTTGCACAGAACTCAAAAAGTTTGTTCTCCCTGTCATTTTGCATTCACTCTTCAAGGCCTTAGGTCAATGAAATAGGCACAGAAATACTTCCTTTTAATCAAAAATGATTCCAGACACTTGCTAGTATTGCATGAAAGTGTTGTGAGCTATTTATGTCCTATAAAACCTCTAGAAGTTTCTGGCTGTGTTGGAAGAATGACTCTGCTCCTAAGAACATTTTAATTAAAACCAGCTGTTAGGAGGTGCATTGTCTCTATTTGCCCTGCATTTGCTTCCTTTGCATTTTCCCTAGAAGGGATGGCAAATTGTCAAAAACCAACTAAATGAAAGCTGCGCATAATTGTTTTGTGTGTAATTAGTAACAACAAAAACAAAGCAGTTGCTATTGGCTACATACAAAACTTTAATTCACCCTTTTATAAAGAAATTGGTTTAATGCAAGCATGTCACATTTATTTCATGGCAAGCGCTGGATTCTTTTTTAATCATGCTAAAGGGCTAGGCTGTAATTTCAGGGATCTCCTCTCAACCTACCCACATATTAATAGTTAAAATATAGTCTTTTCTGCATTAACTAAATATTTAGCTGCCATTCATTTGCTTAGTGTCATCATTGGGCTTTAGAGTTGATACCACAGTCAAATGAGTAAGGGAAGCTTGCACCCGTGACTCACCTGCAATCTCGGAAAGACAGCACTGTGTCAGTCAGCCTCTGAGCACACACCACCCATGAACTCTCACACATACTTCAAACCTGGAAGCATGCCAGGGAGGCTGGTCTGAGGCATCCTTCAGTAGCCACTTTCAAGACCTGGGTCTCCAGTTTGCCCAAGAGTAGTTACTGGGGTTGGTCCTAGAAAAACGTTGCTGCTGTATTCCTGTTTGGAGCATGTGATCAGGAGCAGATGGCAGGATGGGCAATTTGGCAGCACAGCCCTCATGTGGACATGTTTTGTGGTCTTATTTTCACCTCAGGCAAATTACACAGTATTTATTATTCCTGGCACACCAAAGGCATCCATGCTATGACCCTTGCCACAGTGCACACACTTGCAGGATAGCTAATGAGAGGTGCCATCCCCATGTGCCCAGAAGCACTCCCACGGCACAGTGCATGAAGGTGATGCTCAGGTATGTGCTCAGGGCTGCTCTAACCAACTATGCTGCTTTATTTCTGGTACTTAGTGAGCACAGAGGGGGTGCAAGGGGGCAGCATGTGCTTCTTGGCAGCAGTCCTGAGCATGGTGCAGAGGCAGTGTAGGCATGCCCTCGATCACCATGTGGAGGTGTGCATCAGTTAAGAACTCCTTGGGTGTGAGCTCCCCACTGTTTAGAGAACATAACCATCCTAAATCTGTTCCATTTAAAAGAAACTGCTTTTGTAGCATTAGATGCTCCAGTGTAGGTCAAGGCTATATTCTGATGTATGCACACAAGGAGACTGAGGTCAGGCAGCATTGGCAATCTTATCTTTGTCATTTCCTGACTGCTGAGGCTGGCATTCTGTTCTTCCCTAATTATCCAAGTGGCCAGTTATTGGCAGTCTAGAGGGCATTTTTGGCACTTATGTGTCCAATGGAATTCTTCTCCTGGATGTGTAGCACTGCACGTGTAGTAATTAGCTGTGCAGACAAAGCATGCTCAGTAGCAGCTGTTGCCCATACACATGCCCTTTGTGAATACATAGTAGACTTAGATGCCTGAAAATGGAGTTATTCAGAATAAGTGACTGTCGGACATATCCTCAGGAAGAGAAAAGGGTCTTCTGTGTGTGTGTTTTGCCTCCATAGCTCAGCAGGCTACAGCGGTGGTTTTCACGCTATTCCATAGACCCCTGGGGTTCCACGATGGATCATTAGTCTGCAGGAAGACTGAGGGCAACGGAGATGTGGAATGGGAGGCAGTGCACCACCATTGTGGAGCAGAGCTGCCTGACTCCATGTCAGTCTTTAGGACAGGGTTAGGAGTTTTGTGGCAGAAGAAGTGATATGAAAGTTTTCCATTACGTTAGGAAGTTTGAGGACATTCACTTAGATGCTGCGGTTCCTGAATTCTAGGCTCCCTGTCTCACTCAGAGGGAAGAAGCAGTGCCCATTTTGCTTCCCAACACAACCAACTAACCATCATATGACAGGCTGGGTATTGTTCTCTCCCTTTTCTGACGCTCCTCTCAAAGCTGAGCCACTAACATAGTATTTTGACAAAATGGATGGAGGACAGGACAGGAAGAAATCTTTCATCTCAGCAGGAGCAAGGGCACCAGCTAGAACCCAGGGTCTGCACTTTTCCCAGATAATAACTGTTTCACTGAACCACATCATGTGCTTTGTTCCCTTCCCCCTGGCCCCACATATCTCCTAAAGACTCCCTCTCCAGGTTTGGGGTGTGTCAGAGGATTCAAGCAGGTGGACAGGATTCAGGCCCCCAGTGCTGTGGACACCATCACTGCAGTGTAGATAAACCCTGAGTGGTTGCTTTACAAAAATTCAGTGTGTATGCATAACCACTTTTCAGCAGACCACTGACTATACCTGTGGGATTCATAACTCTGTCAAGTGTTGCCCTCTAACACTAACAAACTGAAGCAGCTTCAGCAAGGAGTCAGGAGGTCATAAAATTTATTTTAACATAGGAAACTGTATATTTTTCCAGCACAGATTTGAAAATAGTGACACCATTTTGATTTAATCATAGCAGAAATATTGTTTCAGACTGAAGACAGCCTTTTGTTTCAGGCAAGTATGTAAATAATAGTAAATGGCTGAAAATAACTCCTTGAAACTGCATCACTTGGGTAATTTTAAAGAAAGCTTCCGTGTCCTCTATAAGAAAATATTAAGCAAATATAAGCAAACTGTCACTGAAGTGGTAAGACACCATGCAATACATGTCAATCAGGCTTTAAAATATTCTAAAATTGTTTAATATTCTAAATTTCCTTTATTGATAATGCAACTAGCAGACTTCTTTACATGACTGATTTAATTTTTTTTGTTTGAATTGTTGCAGTGAAATCTTATATTGGTTTGTTGGTAAATTTAGCTGTCTTTTGTAGGGTCCGGTAGGGGAGATCGGACAACGTGGGCCAATGGGACCAAAGGTAATATTAATTAGAAAATTACATTTAAAAGTCAGCAATGTTTGATATTTGGCACTGGAACAGATACTGGTTTGATGTATTTACATGTTGCTAGATTATGTTTGATTTTTATTCTTTTTAGGATTGGCAAGCTGGTCAATTGACTGATCAATTGACTGCATAGTTTTTGACTGGTCAAAGATTATGGCAATTTTGGGGGGAGTGAATTTTTTTTCCAGTTTTCTTAACAGAAATAATGTTTTATTGTTTTTGACATATTTCTTAATGGAAAACTTGTGGGATTTTGTGTATTATTTGACTGCATTGTCAATGTTTTACAATTTTTTGCCTGATATTTGACCAAACGTTATTTGATTGGTCATATACCCAACCCTAGTCCTTTTACAACACTCTGTAAAGAGGAAACTAGCAGAATCAAAAAATTTCTATTTTTTTAAATGTTCTAGTAACACTGACATGTCTAAATTATGTTGAGCAAATTTTACATTCATTTACATTATTGTAAATCTAGTTCAGAAGTTTTTTTCATTTTGATTCTGGCACAGCTTGACTAAAGACGCAATTAATAGTTATATATCACAGATTACAGTGTTATAAAAACTAAACACCCAGGCTAAGATACTCAGACTTTGGCATTATAAAAGCAAACTGATTTTCAAGGGTCGAGGGCTACTCAGGGAAGCCTGAGAACAGAGCTGGGACTCATGTTTAGGACCCCTGTAAGCCCCCTAGACTTCCTAATTCTTGAGCCTGGGTACAGATGAAGGTCTATTTCTTGTCAGTGGTCCTGGGCTTGGAAGAGTAACAATATAAATGTGGCTCTAGATCCAGACCAGTCTCACAGAATATAATGCCAGTGTAGGAATTAGGAAGGACACTAGGTCCCCCTGTGGAACATGCTCTTAAAGCAGCCAGTGCATTTATTGCCACTAACAATTACCACAATGCAGAATGTCTTAAATATAAGAGTCACAGTGGTGGGATAAAGAGAGAGAGGAATCATAACACAAGCGTCATCGTAATGTTATAACAAATAGTGATGGGAAGGCAATATTGTCTTAATGGCTAGGGACAGACATTAAAAAAGACAGAGCCTGAATTGATTCAATCTTTGCAGGTTAGTCTAACCTGGCTAGGCTGAACTGTTCGGAAACTGAACAGATGTTCTCTCTGGACTGAGGAAATTCAGGCACATGCCTGCAGTGGCTCATCCTAGAAGCTGGGGAGTTCTAGAGCAGCCCTCCCTTCCCTTCTGCAGGGAGCTGAGCTGAGCGGGGCGTGGCCAGGCCCTGGCAGGACTCTCTCATTAGAGAAGTCTGCCTTCATGGTCCCAGGCTTTTCCCTGCTGGCTGCTCGAGGGACGGGAGTGTTGCTAGCCCCCACACCAGGTTATTGCCATAATCTGCATCTGAAAAGGTCCTACAATTAAGGATGCCCAACTTTCACCTTTGGCTTGCCAACATGAAATCAATCTGATTCCTGATATTACCATCTGAATATGCGTGTCATCATTTCTGGGGGTGATAAAACATTTTGTTAGCAACAAAAAGTCCATTGTTTTTCATTTTGTTTTTTACAAACGTCACATGGTCTGTAAGCAGCATCTTCAGCTCATAGAGACCCCATTATCCCAGAACTTCTCGTATCCAATCTCACTTCTCCAGTCTTTGCACTAAGTCACCAGATACAAAAAACCTTGTTACTCTTTAGGACTGAGTCATCAACTTCCAGTAGCTGTCCATAAAGTAATGCAGCATTTCATCTGAAGCAGGAGTTGGTGGGATGCTGTATGATAGATATATTCATGGGCATAGCTTTGAGTCTCACTGGGTGCATCTATGTGAAATGCTCGTTGCTATGGTGACATAGCGTCAGCAGGCACTAACCATGACACTGCCTCTACTGTATAGTATCAATGAGCTACTGCACAGTAGGGTCAGAAATGACCTGTGTACCACCATTACCAGCAGATACTGCGCAGTCATTTAGTAAAGGCAACCCCCGCTTAGCACTTTTAATTGGTTCTAGACAGACCAAGCGTGAAGCAGAACCACACTAAGTGAAACCCATTTTCCCCATAGGAATTAATGTAAATAGAGATAATTGGGTACTGCTGCTTCTCACTGCTACCACCTCTCCCCAATCCCCCCGCCCGTCTGCCAGCCGCTCTGGCCCCACGTGCCAGCCTGAACCTGTGTTCCTGCTGCCCTGCTCTGGGCCCCTTGCTAACCCTGGCCCCAGGCACTGGCACAGGCCCTGCACTCATGCCCGCCTGCCCACTCGCCGCTTTACACCAGTGCTGCTTCTCCCCACCCGCCAGCCGCTCCGGCACCATGTGCCAGCCCAGGCATTGCGCTCCTGGTGCCCTGCACTGGCACCAGTATGGGCCCCATGCTCATGCTCACCCGCCTATTCACTTCCACTTATCACTTCTCACCACCACTGCTTCGCTGAGCACTGTAACGAAACTGGCTCAGCACTAAGTGGAATCAAGTGTGAATTTTAAATGAGCGCTATAGCAAAATAGCGCTAAGTGAAACCACATTAGCAGGGATTGCCTGTTCTTGCTAAAGCAAATACTAAATGAATGTGCAGTACCAACTGCACAGTGGGGCACACGTGTAGATGTGCCCACTGAGACTGTTCTCTCAATTGTGTTGTATCCCAAAATATTTCTTGCTCACCCAGATTGACACACATACAATGCTCTTTCCCTGAGTATGCTAATATTATAAAAGCCTTTGTCTGTCTGTCTGTAACGCTTTATTCGCACTCTGGTTGGCAGCCAATCAGGGGGCCAGGGTGTGGGGGTGAGACAGTAGTGCTGGCCTTGCCACCCCCCAGCCCAACTCCTTGGAGGCAGGGGGAGACAGTGGGAACTGGAGCTCCACCATAATGGAGGGGATGCAGAGCAGGGGCAAGGCCAGTGCCGCTAGCCTCCACCTCCCACCCGGCCATGCTCTTTGGAGCCAGGGGCCGGAGCAGGCCCCCCCAAACAACAGCCGGAAGAGAGAGGGGAAGGGGAAGGGGGGATTATCCAGGGGCAGCACGCAGCCACCAGCACCGGCCACCTGCCACCAGCCCCACTGGCCACCACTGCCGGCCCCGGCTGCCACTGGCTGCCTGTCACTGCTCCCCTCCCTCCCCACCAACCCTGAGAGGCAGGTGGTCAGGGGGAGGTGCATGCGCCTGCACCCAAAGCAGTGAGGAGGAACCAGACCCAAAACAACAGTGGGAATTAGGGGAGGAAATGAACCCAGGCCCGAAGCGGCAGACAGGGAAGGGAGAGAAGCCGGACCCCAACCCAAGGCCAGGGGGATGACGCAGGCCTCTGTCCCTGCCCGACCCCCACCCCCCCATCATGCTTGACGAGCAATTAGCTAGTCTTATCAGGTTGTTTTTTTTTCTGCCATGCAATGACCTTCTCCATTATATCTCCATTAGACTGTTTGTCTTAACATTGGCCCTAATCCAGTTCTGATTGCAACATGGATAACTTGCCACATTGTCATAATATTCATATAATTGTAGAAAAGTATGGCTGGCAAGAACCTCAGGAGGCCATCAACCCCCTAGTCAAGGTAGGATTATCACTGTCTGAAAAGTGAGTCTAAATCCTGGAGTGCCTTGAGATCCTTTGAGGGGTGTCACAAAGTCTTAACATTGGTATGTGTGCAAACATGATTCATAAGGAAAAACCTAGAGATATCAAATAGAAATACATAGCCATGTCCATATATACATGGATATTTGGTTCCCTGGGGACAACTAGCAGCGGCACACTTTGTGCCGCTGCTAGTTGTCTCTGGGGAACGCCTGTGCCATGTGCACTCTGGCACGCAGCAAGTTACCCTGGGAGGGGTAGGGGAGACTGGGGCCAGCCCAGTGCTGGCCCCAGAAGCCTTACCTAGCATCCTGGGGGCCTCCCGTGGCTGCAGCAGTGGCAATCCTGCCACATGGAGCCTGGCCGGCAGTAGAGTACAGCTCTGGCTGGCAAGGCTCCAACTTTGGGGGGTGCATGCTGACACCACATGCTCCACTCCACTTCTTTTTCCATGGGTTTTTTTCAATCCTGGCTATCCAGGGGTAAAAAAAAAAAACCCCTCATGTTGCTTCCTTGCAGTGCAGAGAACAAATGAATGTGCAGTATGTGGCATCACAGACATGTTTGCAGTGCCACATACTGCATGGCCGCACTCATCTAGATACGACCTATAGGGTTAAAAGCATTTCAACCTGTTGAGTTCTTTGCAACAGGAATTGCTCTATTATTTTTTGTTGTCAAAACAGGAGTATAAATTAAGAGCTAGCATTTTCTGAGGGTTGCCTGAGTCTATCAAAGGGTTCCTCAAGTCTGTTGAAGGATGCCTCAAGTCTACAAAGGCAGAGAATTACTGGTCTAAATCATTTCAGATAAATGGTTGTCTAACCTGACCTTAAAACT